CTAGGCCTCTGGACTCTACTTGGACTCCTACCTTACAGGTCTACAGTTCGAATCTCCCTACAGCCTACAACCTACGGCGACCTACTTACCACTGGCTATCGTGCAGGTCACGGGTTCAACTCCAGGGAACTGTGCTGATACTGTACACAGGTAAGCTGAGGTCAAGGGATCGACCCCTGGGATCTGCATCGGCTACTGCCAAAGGTGAAAAACTGTTTCATCATTCTTCCTATCATCTCCGATATGTCTTAACCTGTGCACAACGTCTGTTCACCTGCTTGTTTGGCCTCTTCCTCATTGTCATTGTTGTTCATCCTCCTCCTCCTCCTCCTCCTCCTCCTCCTCCTCCTTCCAGGGCTGTTCGCCTTGTTGTCTGATCTCCTCCTCCACCTCCTTTTCCTCCTCCTCCTGTAGGGTTTGATCCCCTTGTTCTCCTACTCCTCCGCTGCCAAGGGCTGTTTGTCTGCTTGTTTATCCTCCTCACCTCCTTGCCGTCCTCCTCCTCCTCTTCCTCCTCCTCCTCCTAGTCTTCTTCTTCCTTCTTCCTTCTTCTTCTTCTTCTTCTTCTTCTTCTTCTTCTTCTTCTTCTTCTTCTTGGTGGTCATTGTCGTCATCGTTGTCGTATATCTTTCTGCCTTCAGGCATCCGGGAAGAATATCTTGAAGATCCCTGTGCATTTCAACCACTCGAACAGATGTTGAATGACATTGCGATTGTGGGCCTGGCTTGGAACTGCATCTGAAGTTCTGACAGAAGGTAGTCCTCGGTAGGTTTGAGCTTTCCTTTTTCTTTTTTTGTTTGTAATTCTTTTAGGAAAAGGGAGGAGGTATGGGGACCAGGAGAGTTAAACGTTGGATGAACGGGGGCTGGGCGCCATGGTGCTATGTTCTCACTCAGAATGCACAAATTTGATGGTAAAAGTGGCCAGGTTCATGCTGGCTTTATAGCACAAACATAGTACTGATGGAGCGTGGCCCCGAGTACCCCTCCAAAAGTTAAAATGGCAGTCTACAAACAACAGAAAGATGTACACAACGGATACAAGACAAGCGTGAAAAAGAAAAAGACAAGCGCGAGGGCTCCTTAAGAGTGAATGTCCTTGTAAAAGTGGCATTGTTCATACAAAGCATTGTCGTTTTGCTGTTTATTCACAGGTGCTGCAATCGATTTGACAACGCTTTGTATCGTGGAAGGCAGGACATGCTGGGTTCTTTACGTCGATATCCTTGTGCTCAATACTGATGGAAACCTACTGGATGCATCTGCCATAGCCATTAAGGTACGTGCCTTTTCCTTTTTCTTCTGTTTTTTGATCTGATGGTGGCGATGAAGGCACGTGTCACTCACTGTCTTTCCGGTCTGACTGTAGCAATCAAGGTACCGGTGCTTTTTTTTTCTTTCTTTCTGATCTGCCATCACTGTGTCTTTTTGTTGAGCTGATGCTCAGAGTCTTGAAAGATTCCCATAAGTCTGTTGTACAGTTGAAGACAATAAAAAAGCAGGGCCGGAAAGCAGTGTCGCATAGTAGGGATGGAAAGCAGTGTCGCATAGTAGGGATGGAAAGCAGAGTCGGAAAGAAGGGTTGGAAAGCAGAGTCACAAAGAAGAAGGTTCAGAAAGTTGGTCTAGGCCGAGCACGGCAGAGAGCACATTATTATGAATTTATGATATTCAGATATTGACATATTATGATATTTTAATACTATATGCAAGCAGGGTTGGAAAATGGGTCTCTCCCAAAAAAAAAGTGAAAAAAAAAAGTGGGTCTCTTCGGGGCCAAGCACGGTGTCCAAAGAGCAATGCCACCAAACCATGAGTTTTTTCTTTTTTCTATTTTAAACTCCTTCCAGTCACAGGATTAGTAAACAGAAGCAGCAAATGACGCGGCACATGAGAATGAAAGGGAATACAAAGAGTCCCGATGAAGTGGAACTGCTAGGATTATGAGGAGTCCCAATGCAGTGGGACTGCTACCGTCTTCACCCGAATAGAACGCCCCGTCATTATCGCTGCATACGGACTGAAAGTTGGGCCAAATGCAGCTATAATGACCGGGCGTTCTATTCGGGTGAAGAAGGTAGGATAATGAGGAGTCCCAATGCAGTGGGACTGCTAGGACTATAAAGTGTCCCAATGCAGTGGGACTGCTAGGACTGTAAAGTGTCCCAATGCAGTGGGACTGCTAGGATTATGCAAAAACTTAGTTGATCCCAGGCTTGATTGGAAACTTCGTGGAAGATTGGAAGCATTCGCAGGCTTGATTGGAAACCTCGTGGAAGATTGGAATTCATCATTGTTGAAGCCAAGAGAAACTTATATGAAACTGGGCACCCTGATGCCTTGTACAGCATGCAACAAACAGCTCGAGAAAACAAAAAAGTCCACAGTGTACCCGGACTTTCCACTGGCTATGGATGTGCCGGGTGTTCTATTCGAGTGAAGATGATAGGTGCTAAAAATAATGCTGCTCCTTCTCTCTTGCTTGACAAACTTCACAAATGAAACCATGTGCCTTGCTCACTCTTTACGAGCAAACGCTTTTCTTGGGCCTACTCGGTTCTGGCCTGGAAAAATCCCATTCTCTAAGTCTGAAGAAGCTTAAACCACCAGTACTTGGCGCAGCTATCAGCCACGGGGAAAAAATAGAACAGAAATGTTTCTAGTCGGAAGGGTGCTCCTGTAGTGGCCCGTACGTTTGCTAAAATCGTGGCTTGTATACGGGCACGACTTTAGGAAGTACTGGTGGCTTAAGGGCTAAGCCCAACAACAAGAGATCCCCACTCATAGGTCCCAGGTTCGAATCTGACCGGAAGCAAAGAAAGAACCACAAACAGCAATTCAATTCATACTTACCTCTTTTCTTGGGCAAGTTGCGGGGATCGAATCCCTCCTGAGCCCAACACTACACAAAGAATAACTCTTAATAATACAGCGATACAGCAATGACAGGGTATGCATGTTCTCCAGTCTCTCCCCACTTCTTCTTCAGACTCTCCTTCCTTAACCGGCACCTCCCATCAACTGTGGCTATGGAGGACTCTTTCTCCGCAGTGAAAAATCTTCTCTCCGGCATCTTCAACCTGTGTCAACCTACCGTCTCTCAGACTCTCTCTCTCCCTACCAGATCTCCTAGAAGTACAGTGCGAAAAGCATGAAGTCTTGATTGGTGAATACCGGTCCTGTCTGAAAGTCTTCTTCTTCGATGTGGCTATGTCTGAAAGTCTTCTTCTTCGATGCGACAATGCTCCAATCTATTCATGGGGAGCACGGTCATTATAGCTGTATTTGGGCAGTTTCCACTTTCAGTCTACATACAGTGATGATGATTGTACACTCTATTCCAGGAAAGACGGTAGGCCTGAGAAAACCAATAGTCAGCCCCAGTCTGTTTTTATTTTTGTTTTTTATTTTTAAATTTATAGCACAGTAAGACCAAGAGTCAAAGATTTATTCAGAGGACCACAAGTCAAATTTTGACCACAGATCAAGCACACATCCAACCGTCCAGACAAAATTTTCGGTTGAGTGCAGGGCCTACTGCTGGATGGCAGGTCTCCCCAGCCAAGCACCTGCTGCCTCAGCCAGTCTGTGGGTCCCAGAGGGCACATTTAGGTAGCTATGGCTGTTTGGTTGGAAAATTGAGAACTGCAATGAACTGGACTCCAGAAGCTTACATTGTCATCATGCGACAAATTCAGAATGCTGAAAAATTGAATATACATTGTTATGGTTGTTATAGACATTGTTATACGCTGCTCTGGTTCTGTCATTCCTTTGTGTCCTGTCCTTTGAAAACTGTCTTGTCGTGCGACAGAATCAGAGTCGTTTGACGGAACCAGAGTGAGAACTGCCTTGTTCCTTTTTTTTTGTAATTGGCAAGTGCCTTGAGATGTCCTATCATTGAGCTGACCGGCCCCAGGTGATCCACAGTTGTTCAACTCTTTTGTTATTCTATCAGCACCTCTCTCTCTCTCTGTCTCTCTCTCCCCCCCTCTCTCTCTCTCTCTCTCTCTCTCTCTCTCTCTCTCTCTCATACCTCAACGGCTCTATCTTTGTGAAGTGTGCCTTGACTACTTTCTCACTCTCGCTCTCTCTCTCTCTCTGTATATATATAGCCTTCTGATGAGTTTGTAAACTCCGCCGAAACAGTTTGTCACAGCCCCTCGTTTGTTTTCCTCTTCTCCATCTCTGTCTACTACGCTTTACCAGGCAGTTCTGTTTGCGCCTACTGCCATATTTTTGGGCGTGTCTGGCCACTGATGAGTCCGATGGGATGAAACACATAATTGTTCGGCACTGCACAGCTCTTCGCGTGCACGTGTGTTTAGTGGGTGGTGTGGAATTTGACGGAGTGGCTTTGCGGCGTTGGCGCGAGGGAGTGCGTCATTCTCGCGAAAGCGTCGTAGAGTATGAAAGTCTTTTTGCGGACAGGACGTCTTCAAATATATATATATATATATATATATAGCCCCTCGTTTGTTGTCCTCTTCTCTCTCTCTGCCTACGGCTTACCGGGCAGTTCTGTTTGTGACGATATATATATATATATATCGTCAAATAGAACTGCCCGGTAAACCGTAGGCAGAGAGGGAGAAGAGGACAACAAACGAGGGGCTGTGACAAACTGTTTCGTCGGAGTTTCACCGACTCATCAGGAGTATGTCACAGCCCCTCGTTTGTTGTCCTCTTCTCTCTCTCTGCCTACGGCTTACCGGGCAGTTCTGTTTGTGACGATATATATATATATATATCGTCAAATAGAACTGCCCGGTAAACCGTAGGCAGAGAGGGAGAAGAGGACAACAAACGAGGGGCTGTGACAAACTGTTTCGTCGGAGTTTCACCGACTCATCAGGAGGCTGAACCCTCAACAGTCTGTAGAATCCCCTCACTGATTACACTGTAAGTGATAATCCACCTTAACCAAAATCAAAGTAGTATATATATATCTCCCTCTCTGCCTACGGTTTACCGGGCAGTTCTATTTGACGATATATAAAGAGTTTGTCACAGCCCCTCGTTTGTTGTCCTCTTCTCTCTCTCTGCCTATGGTTCACCGGGCAGTTCTGTTTGTGACGATATATATATATTTTCTCCGGTCAGGTCGAGCAGCAGTGGTCGGGGCCGTCACTACGCGGCCATGCTGTGCCTCTAGTGCCAGCGGCGTGTCTGGAGTGTATTTTTTGGCTGTGATAGACCTTTCTTTGTTTCGTGGATGTTTTGCTGGCTTGTGATGGGGTGTGAACCGACAGTCTGTAGAGTTTTCCATCTGGTGTGGGTGCTGTCTCTTATACACATCTAGATGTGTATAAGAGACAGTATATATACAGTCTGTAGAGTTTTCCATCTGGTGTGGGTGAGAGATAGTCTACTTTGATTTTGGTTAAGGTAGATTATCATTTACAGTGTAATCAGTGAGGGGATTCTGCAGACTGTTGAGGGTTCAGCCTCCTGATGAGTCGGTGAAACTCCGACGAAACAGTTTGTCACAGCCCCTCGTTTGTTGTCCTTTTCTCCCTCTCTGCCTACGGTTTACCGGGCAGTTCTGTTTGTGACGATATATATGTCCACTCCTGCAGTTTTCACTGCTGCAGTGTCCAGTGTTGCGGTTTCCACTGCTGCAGTGGGAAACTGCTGCAGTGGGAAACTGCTGCAGTGTCCACTGTTGTGGTTTCCACTGCTGCAGTTTCCATTGCTCCAGTTTCCAATGCTTCAGTTTCCGCTGCTGCAGTTTCTACTGCTGCGGTTTCCACTGCTGCAGTTTTCAGTACAGCAGTTTCCCTAACTGTAACTCCCCCTACTTCAGTTTTTACTGCTACAGCTTCTTGTCCTGCAGCTCCAATGCAAAGAACATCACAATCTCTCCGACGCTCACGTCCTTTGCCCCAAAATCTTGCCCAATGCAACCCCCTCTCATCTTTGTCTGTGCTTGGCCATAGACGACTGCGTTCCTCCTCACCACCCCCATCTTCTCCATGGTCTCGCTTGCGGACAGACTCTCCAGTTTCCATTGTTCCCATTGTTCCACCTGCGTCGCTAGGTACAAGTTCAGCTTCTGTTTGCAACACCACTACTCCTCTTGTTGTGTATCACCGACGACATCCGCGGCATCGTCACTTGTCCGGGGATCAGCAGCCTGTTTCTTTGTCTGCCCCGATTCTCTCTGTGCCTCCTCCACAGGTTGTTGCGGTTCCTTTGTTTCAAACGGCAATATCCGCTCCTATGCCTCCTGCAGACCGTCCAGCTGCCTGCAGGCAGCCACCGGTCCCTACTCAGGATGCAGCCGCTGCCCAGAGTACACTCCCGACTCCAGGTACAGTCCCTACTCAGGATGCAGCCCTAAACGTTGAAGGATTGGAACATGATCTGCCCGGATTGCAGTTGACCCCACAAGGCCTAGACCACATGGGGGATCTGCAAATGGGACAAGCGTTGTTCGGATGAACCACAATATTGTGCTCTGCCACACGCAGACCACATGGGTGGTCTGCAAATGACTGACCAGCAAACAGCCCAACACAGTTTGGGCTTGCAACACCATCTGGGTGATCTGCAAATTGTTGGCCAGCATCCAACAAACCAGCCTGAGAACCTCACCAATCTCTGTGGTCTGACAGCAACTAATATCTGTCTTCACATTCTCCATCGACCGTTTTATACACCATCAGACTTCCTTGCAATCGCCCTTCAGCTTGATGCTGATCTTCCCCAACGACAGCCAGAGGATTGTAATCATACCAGCAAAGGAGGCTTTACCATTGCTGTCCTACAAGTAGCAGTGTGTTATGATTCTGGTTGTTTGTTGTCTGGAGGCCAACACTCACTCACATAGACTTCCAAGTATGCCCATACAGACACAGAAGGAATGGGAGAGGATAGGAGTATCACAATGCACAGGGAGAGATAAACACGGGG